TGATATACACACAAAAGAGTTCACGCTCTTTCCCATACCGTTACCCCGTAAAACCCAATGAGAGTGAGACTCATTTATAACCCAGAGTGAATCGGCCAGATGCGATGCAAGACGAAACGAAGTCGAGCGCTCCGAGTTCAAAAGACACCTACTTCTTTTCGCAGCCCTCCCCGTTGGCCGTGTGTAACTGTAAACCCGAAGGCGGGCTGGGCGACCACCGAGGGCACGGGTCCAACTGCGCTAGGTGCAGTTTCCCTTTCCCCGCAGGGGAGACGATGCAGTCTAACGCATACGGCTTTCCCCAAGACCACGCATCGTGACTATTTAAGGTACGGAGGGCAGGTCTCAGAGCTCAACGCGCCCGAATGGGAAGTCGGGGGGAGGCGGCGGCGCGACCCCCCGACAGCACCTGCACCAGGACCCGCAAGCGCACGCAAGCCGGCCCCGGTGCCCGCAACCCGCGCCCTGCACCGCCCCTCCCACGCGCGCCCCAGGTGCGGGAAGGCCGCGGACCCAGGGCGGGTGCTTCCCGTCGCCGGCGCCGCAGACCAGGGCGGGGCGACCCAGGAGCACCCGAGGAGGCGCCGCGCCCCTCCCCGGGGCCATCGGGGCCCCCGAAACTCGCTCCCCGCTTCCCTGAACTCCAGGAGCGGCCGGGCCCGAAAAAGGGGGCTGGGGGCACTCACCGCGATCATGATCGTGTCTTCTCCCTGAAACTTGGCGATGTACTTATCGCCGCGGTTCACCTCGGACTCGTTCAGCGGTCTGAAGCGACACATCACTTTGATGTTGCACTCGGCCGGGTCCGCCATCTTCCTGGCTGCCGGGGTCGAAGGCCGGGAGCCACTCCCCGCCGCTCAGTCTTGGAGGAAACGGGCCGAGCCGAGGGGCTGGGGTCGCAAAGGCCGAGGGCCCGCGGTCCACGACGTCGCGCTTCCCCGGCGGAGCGGCCGGGACCGGGGCTGCAGCGCCCGCGCCGGCACCGTCGCCCGCAGGCTCACTTCCGACCCATCATGGCAGCCATGGCGGCGGCGCCGGGCGGCGGCGGCTCCTCAGCTTCTCCTTCGCCGGCGGGGCAGGGTGCGGGGCTGGGGGATCCCGGAGACCGGGAACACGACCTCCTCTTTCTTCCTCGGAGAGAGCAGGCCGCGCTCACCGTCGGCCCGGTCGCCGGTTCGCCCGCTACTGCCTACTCATTCCAGACGCCGCGGACTGGCGACGGGCGGTGTGAGGGGCGGCACGGGGCGGGAGGAGCATTGCGCACGCGCGGCGGGCCCGGCGCCCCGGCGACCAATCCGCGCCCGCGCCGCCGCTCCGCGCCGGAGTCGCAGTGCCAAGTTTCCCGACGCGCACGCGCAGAGGGACCTGTGGCTCCCGCCGGAGTTGGATGAAGCGCTAGCTTTATTTCCTTCAGAGTACAAGGGACTTGTTAAGACTGCTTGATGTTGTGGTTTAAGTAAAAACACTGTATTCCTCTTGGGAAGTGTTTGCTTTCTATTTGGTCTGGAGATACATTGATCCCTAGCCCACCTTTTTAGAGCACTTTGCCAGAAAAAGGAAAATTTGAATGAAGGGCGGTACCTGGCTTCTGATTCAAGCGGTCGCTCATTCCCGAGAGAGTGGGTTGGGAAGACAGGACTAAGCAAGAAAAAGGAGATTTCGTCTGAGGAATACAAGGTGCTGAAGAAATGTGGAACAGAAGGCCCTCGGGGAACTGGGGGTCCCAGTGACCCCGTAATAATCGTTATGGAACTCGTCAGTCTCGGTACCTGGAGTGTAAAGACGGAAGAACTGCAAAGACAACTTTCGAGACCCTTCTCCTGGTCCCCAGGATTTGTCTGTGAAGTGGAGTGTACTGTGAAAGCCTCCGATGCTCTCTGTCCTCGCCCGATCGTCCTAATACCCCCAGAAATGAATCTAGAGTCCACAGATGCAGGTTTATTGATCCACGGTAATGGGGGAGAGTTCGCATCTAAGGAGCCCTGGGGTATCTCACCAAACACAGAAAAAGATGGAGTTGTTACAGGACTTTCGGGGAAGTGTGGAGTTTAGGTAGAATTTAAATGAAGTTGTGTTTTGATCGGTCCCAACAAAGCAGAGCTGTGAGTGGCATCATGTCTGGACTACAAGTGGATCCAAAGTCTCGTTTCCTTGGAACTACAAGGTTAAGATAGATGTGGAACGTTGTCTCCAGAAACCCCTTACCCACAGCTCTGCGCCTGGCTTAGAAATGAGTCAAGGCTGCCTCTGTGCCTGAGACTGCGGCAAGAGTGGGATGTTTTTTTCTTACTGATGTACTTTTGTTGCGGTCCGGGAGCCACACGCCTGGAGTCAAGTTCCCCGGTAAATGCGACCCGTGTCCCAACCAAGGACACCCGAGAATCACCAACACCAAGCAGAAAGATTAGCAAAGGATTTATACAAGTACAAGTATAGAAGCTTACACAAACTGTCCGGACAGGGTCCCACTCGGAGAGAAGTGAGTGAGACCCCGACTAACAGCCGGGCGAGGCTTTTATACCCTTCACAGGGCGGGAAGTCCCCAAGGCGGGAGGGAGCTGTTTAATTTTGAATCAGCCAATCAGGAACCCGGTTCTTCCCGCCCCAAGCAAGCAAGCAAGTTTCTTACAGAAGCCAAAATGTGCTGTTAGCCCTGAAGCTGTTCTTCCGTTTCTTTCGTCACACTTTCAAGGGGCAGTTTCTGATAGTCTATGATTTTAGAGAGCAATGTTTTCAGTAAGAAAGCAACAGTCACTCAAGGAGGTTGATGTGTCAGGTGGGTCACCAGTTTTCATCCCTCGTAGCAGGGTCTCATAAAGCTTCTGTTCTCAGCCCTCTGCTCTGTTCTCTCCGAACTCACTTCTTCAGCAGTTGTTGGAATCTCTTATCTACAGCCCTGACCTTTTCACCTGTGTGACATTCCCATCTCGCCAGCTGCTTCTAGGCCACCTTGTTTAGAATGCTCTATCTTAACCTCCAATTTAGCATTCCAGAGATGAAATTAATTATCCTCTGCTCCCTGGAAATACTGAGTGCAACTACTCAGCTCTCCATTTTTGATGACCAGCATCAGCATTCTTCCATACTCCCAGGCTTAAAAAGTTCCAAGCACCTGTCATTCCAATGTTTCCCTCATCCCCTATACATGCAGAAGAGAAACATGGGAATCTGTGTATCTGAAGTTCCTCAACTTCCATTCCACCAGTCCCGACTGTTCCCCAACTCAGAAGAGCTGAGGAATAATTGTTCTAGAGCAGTGACTTTCAGATTCTGCTCCATGGAGTAGAGGATCCAAAGAAGTGACTCAGGAGGTTTCACGGGTCTGGTGAGGGAATGGAGGTGGATGGGAAGGCTAAGCCATGAAGCTCTGGGAACCTCTGCTGTTCAAGGTCCTTTCGTTGCCTTTTGACTCTCGCCTTTCCCCTCTTCCTGCACGACAGATTCTGGAAGCTCAGGCTTTATGAAAACAAAATCCAGAAAGGGAAGTGTCTGCAAGAGTCTTCTGCTTTCAGGTCTGACATACACACTTCTCCTGCGCGAGGGAGCACAAACTGCCTGACTGCAGAGAACCAGGAAGAAGAAAGTTATGTGAGAAACAAAATCTTTCTTTTTCTTTTTTCTTTCTTTCTTTCTTTTTTTTTTTTGGCTGCACTGCGTGGCTTGTGGGATCTTAGTTCCCTGACCAGGGATTGAACCCGGGCCCTGACAGTGAAAGCACCGAATCCTAATCACTGGACCACCAGAGAATTCCCAAAACCAAAGTATTTCTAAAAATTGCCCTATCACACGAGTGAGGACCATCAGGCAAAAGGGTTTAAGAAATATTTTCATAGGAAAATAAAAGAATGATTTTTAAAAAATGGTTCATCTCAGTTTTTCTTCCAAATATAGAAAAGACCACCATTATTCAACATTAGCAGTGAAACAGTAGGTTTCCTTGAGGGTATAGTTTGAGACTCATCAACGTAACTTTTTTCTTATGAAAATGTGAGTGGTACTTTCACCTATACAGATTTTTTTTTAATTAATTTATTTTTGGCTGCATTGGGTCGTTGTTGCTGTGCGTGGGCTTTCTCTAGTTGCAGTGAGTGGGGCAAGCAGGGGCTACCCTTCGTTGCGGTGCACAGGCTCTAGGCCCGCAGGCTTCAGTAGTTGTGGTGCATGGGCTTCAGTAGTTGTGGCTCATGGGCTCAGTAGTCGTGGCTCACGGGCTCTAGAGTGCAGGCTCAGTAGTTGTGGCCCACGGGCTTAGTTGCTCTGCGGCATGTGGGATCTTCCCAGACCAGGGCTTGAACCCGTGTTCCCTGCATTGGCAGTTGGATTCTTAACCACTCCGCCACCAGGGAAGCCCCACCTATACAGTTTTAGAACATTAAGTCTCCACTGTGGAAGTTAACCTCCAAAGAATGTCCTCCAGTAAACCATGCCTACTTGGATCACACTGTTGTGTAGCCTCTCTCCTTGACTCTTGGCTGGCCCTTTTATTCACTTGTAAGCAGTACAAGGTGGCAGAAGTGTGATCCTGTGGACTATCTGAAACTGGGTGAGAAGAAGCCTGTAGCTTCCCCTTAGTTCTCTTGGAACGCTCTTTCAGGGGCATCTGAAATGCCACATGAGAAGACCAACTACCCTGAGAACACCATGCTGGAGTCAATAGAACCCAGCTGATCCCAGCCTTCCAGCCATCCCCACCCAAGCACCAGACTTGTGAGGGAAACCACCTTGTACAGTCCAGACCAGCACACCCACCAGTTGAGTACCAGTGAGTAATCCCAGTTGGTACCCTTGGAGCAAAAGAATCACCCAGCTGAGGCCTGCCCAAATTCCTGACCCGTGGAATCATGAGATGTAATAAAATGGTTATTGTTTTAAGGCACTCAATTTTGAAAATTTGTTACATAGCAATAGATAACTGGAATAATCACCTACAACTTGGAACTTAAAATTTATCTCCTGGAAATAATCCTATAAATGTTACTTATGTATAATAGGTGCATTTAGGCTGGACTGTAGTTTAGAGTAATTATAAATAGTCGGAGGGGGTCTGAGAACATAACCACTGTTTATAACATTACTATAAGAAAATTTGTTTCATATTTAATGTGAAGTGACGTTTTTAAAAATGGGCATTTTGAATAGGAAGTTAGAGTATTTCTCTTTTTCAAATGTGTTCAGGAAATGCCTGTTCCTTTCCATTGCCACTACTCACTCCTGGTCCATGGCCCTACTACTCCATGCTTAAATTCCTCCAACACCTCCCAGCCTCTTTCACATTTGATCATTCAGGAAATACAGGTTGAGCTCCTATGAGCACCCAATAGGTGCTGGGGATGTAATGATGAAAAAGACTAAACAATTGCCTCCCATATCCACTAGTTGCATACAATTTTCAGATTAAATTTCCTAAAATACTGCTTTGATTACATCATTTCATTTCTCAAGCATCTACAAGTCCCTTTTTTCTCAAACAAGTTCAAGTTCCTCTACTTAAATCCCAACTCCTTCTTCCATCTGACTTCCCCTTATTTAAGCAGGATTTTCCCACTGTTCCACAACTTACTTTCTTGACTCCTGGCAACTGGCCATTTCACTGATGCCCCCGCCCTTATAATGTGCTAATTTCAAGGTCATGTTGATCCCACCCTGAATGTCTCTCCCTTGTGTCATCCAAATCCTACCCATCTCTGGTCAAGTCCCCCCTTCTGCAAATGGTTTTTCAGCATAGAATTATTTCACAGATCAGACAGAAAACCCCTGTACTGTATTTACTATCATAGTTTAATTCTTTAGGACATTAAAAAATTTTTTTTAATTAATTAATTTATTTATTTTTGCCTGCGTTGGGTCTTCGTTGCTGCACACAGGCTTCCTCTAGTTGCAGAGAGCGGGGGCTACTCTTTGTTGCAGTGCATGGGCTTCTCATTGCAGTGGCTTCTCTTGTTGCGGAGCACGGGCTCTAGGCGCACAGGCTTCAGTAGTGTGGCCCGCGGGCTCAGTAGTTGTGGCTCACGGGCTCTATAGTGCAGGCTCAGTAGTTGTGGTGCACAGGCTCAGCTGCTCCGCAGCACGTGGGATTTTCCCAGACCAGGGCTCGAACCCGTATCCCCTGCATTGGCGGGCGGATTTTTTTTTTTTTTTTTTTGCGGTACGCGGGCCTCTCACTGTTGTGGCCTCTCCCGTTGCGGAGCACAGGCTCCGGACGCGCAGGCTCAG